CCCCCGTTTTCATGGCTCCTCTTGTCTCTCCCTGCTGCAGTCCGCCATGCTCACGGCACGCGGGGAGGAGTCCACAAAGCCGCCTGCAGACTCGGAGAGCAGCGAGGAGGAGGAGAAGCTGGACCTCTCTTCGGCCAGGAGGCAAGGCGGGGGCAGCGGTGCATGTCCCACCCTGCGGTGTGGCACTCTGGAGGGACAGCGGCTGCGAGGGGGGCCCCGGTCCGGACTGTGCCCCCTCCCCGTGCCAATGTCTGAGGTGTCCTGTCTGTGTCCCGCAGGCTGACAGATGAGGAGCTGATGCGGGTGTGCGGGGGCCGCACGGCGCACAAGTGAGTGGTGTTTTGGGGGTTGCACAGCTGGGCAGGGGGTTTTGAGCAGGCTGGGCTGGTGGGGGCACGTTCCCCACCAGGGAGGTGCCAGACCCTGGCTACTCGTGGTCGGTTGCAGGGGTGCCCGTCATGGCCTGACCATGAGTGCCAAGCTGGCGCGCCTGGAGGAGCAGGAGCGAGCCTTCCTGGCCACGTACCGGCCCAAGGAGCGGCAGCCTGAGGCCCCAGAGAGCAGCCCCCCAGCAGAGAGGAAGGAGAAAAGAAAGAAGAAGAAAAGGAAACGGTGCAGGGATGGAGCTGATCCCGAGGTGCCGCAGGGCGAGGAGCAAATTGGAGACGAGGAGGTGGCAGGAGAGGAAAAGGTCGTGAAGAGGAAGAAGAAGAAGCAGGAGGAGAACACGGACAAAGAAGAGGCAGCTGAGACAGAAAAGAAAAAGAAGAAGCAGGAGGAGGAGGAGAACAAGGACAAAGAAGAGGCAGCTGAGACAGAAAAGAAAAAGAAGAAGAAGAAGAAGGACAAAGAGCTGGCTGAGACAGAGGTACCTCTAGAAGACACAAATGGGCCAGACCAGGCTGGGCACAGCCCCAAGAAAAAGAGGAAGAAGAGGAGGCGAGAGGCAGAGTGAGCGAGGGCCGGGGCCACTGCGCTGCAGAGCTGCTGGTTGGGATGGTCCCAATCCTGCCCACCAGTGCTGGTGGGCACCCAAGGGTGCTCTGGGCTCTTCCCAGGTGGAGCCCAGCACTGTGGTGCAGCTGGGTGTTTGCACCCTGGGGATACTGGGCTGGGACTGGTTGGTCTGGAGCTGGATCGAGCTTTATTTCATCCCTTGAGGCTTCTTCCCATCAGGGGTGGCCCCAGATCCAGACCCTGGGGCAGGGACCTGTTTGCTGTGGGTCCGTCGCAGAAGGACACAAGGGGACAGACCCCCACAGAATACTGACATAGTTTTTTTTTCAAGGGTATCAATAAATCTTTATTGCAGCAAATCTATCCTGAAGAGTGAGCTGCATAGCAAACCCTGGGATCCGCGATGACGTCTGTAACTAGAATTGGATTAGGCAGCAACCCCAAACCCAGCCCGCCTGGCAGCTCCAGGGGGGGCTTCTGCTCAGCAAACCCACCCGCTGGGCAGGACTGAAGCCCAGGGAGATACTCAGCATCCTCCTAGCAGAGCACTGTGGCTTTGGCAGAATGAGGCCCTCGTTTGCACCCCAAACCCCCCCGCGGGGCGTGCCCAGCCCTAGGTGAGCTGCAGGACGCAGTCTGTCCCAGGGTACGGTGGCAGGTTCAGAGCGTATTTCTTCTGGAGCGCAGGAGGCACAAACCTGCCCCCAAGGAAGTGGTAGCGGCCCGTGAAATGCATCGCTGCCTTCTTGGGCGCCGTGAGCGAGATGAGCATGTCGGGCTGGAGACCGTCCGCCTTCCCCTTCTCCACGTCCCAGCCTGCAACAAGCCCAGGCTGGAGCCAGGAAAACCCCGGACGTGCCCGTTAACGGCGGCGGGTCCGGCTGTGACTCACCCGAGGGGATGTCGATGCTGGCGATGGGCACCGTGATACGCTCCAGGGTGCTGAGGATGCTGCCGAAGGGCTCCCGCACTGCTCCCGTGAAGCTGAACCCAAAAATCGCGTCCACAACCAGGCCGTAGAGCTCATCGATGAGTGCAGCCTGCGGTGGGGAAGGCAGTGGGTGAAAAACAGCCCCGGGCACCCCAAGGGGGGCTGCTCCCCAGCAAAGGGCTGCCCCTGACCTCAGCTGGGAATTCAGGGAGGAAGGGGATGTCCATCTTCTGGCACTGGGTGGTCAAACCTTCAAACAGGGGCTTGCTGGGGCGCTTGGGGTAATACACAGTCGGCTCGTAGCCCTGCAAGAGCAGGAGGGATCTGAGCGGCGCTGCGGCACCCAGAGCTACCCGAGGAGCAGGAACCCCAAAGCTCACGGGTCTGGGGGTGCACAGGGACCCTCCA